CCCGCCCCCGCCCCGTCTTCCCCGTCCCTCCCCCCGGGCTCCCCAGCGGGAACCGCGGTCCACGCCCACCCGTGTCAGGCTGCGCGCCCACCGCGGCAGCGAGCAGGCCGAGGCCGGCGGGCCCGACGCAACCCCGTGCCCAGGGGGTCCGGCCCCCGGGGCGAAGGCCGGCTTGAGCCGCGCCCGCGGGAACTGCGGTCGTCCGGCTTTGTGTGTTGCAGTTTTTTCTCCTCAACAGCTTCGTTGACACGTGGTTTACATACCCAGCAAGTCACCTCTTTAAAGTATACGATGCGGGGCTTCATTCAGAGTTGAGCGACCGCGGCTGCGACCTGATTCTAGAACATTCCACCACCTCGAAAAGAACCCCGCGCCACTGGCGGGTCCCCGTCCCGCAACCACACGTCCACTTTCCATTGCATGTGCCTGTCGCGGACATTTCACGGAGAGCATTCGCGGTGACCTTTCACGCACTCGTCTGGGTTCTGTGACTCAGCACTAGGGCTGTGCGACACGACGCGTTGTGTGGTCTCAGAGGGGAAGGCTGCTTCAGTCTTCTTGCTGTCGTGAACAGTGCCGCTATCGACGTCGCGTGCACGTCTTCTGTGCGCGTCTGCTTTGTCCCTCCTCCACAGGCAGCTGCTAGTGGAATCGCTGTGTCATATGACGACTCCGTGTTGACTCCTTTAAGAAACTGACCGGCTGCTTCCAAACCGGCTGCACCGTGTCACACTCTCCCCAACAGCACGTGAGGGTTCCGAGGTCTCCGCACGCTCCCCCGCACCTGTTCCCGTCTGACTGGTGCCAGCCATCCCGGGGGTGCGAGTGGGTCTCATTGTGCTTGGATTTGCCTTTCCCGATAGCTGATGACGCTGAGCACCTTTTCGGGCGCTCCTTGGTCGTCCGTATGTCTTCTTTGGAGAAATGTGTATTCAGATCCTTCGCGCACATTTTAGGTACCCCTGAGCCAGTCTCGCGCACCCAACCGGCAGAAGAGGGCAGGGCCCGCGGCGCCGATGAGTCGCCCTCGACCGCGCTGCGCGGCGAGACGTGACCGCGCT